TTTACAAACTCTACATCAGGTGACAAACACAACCCAGGCCATCTTCCCCACACAAACACAAACACAGCCAACTTCCCCAATATTGAAAACAAATGAAGTCTGTAAACCAAGGTACCACCGTATATTATTAAAAAATAGAATGAGAATGCTCTTGATAATTTCCACAAATATGCTGAGCTTAAATGATACAAAATAGTTTAAGTAGTATGTTATCACTGAATGAAAAGGGATAGGGTAAAGAAAAGAGTATTTCACTGTGTTGATTTATACATACATTATTTCTGAAACAAACACAAAAAAACAGTAAGTTATTTGCAGAGACTGAATGACAAGTGAAAAGAAAAAGACTTTTTATTGTATAACATTCTGTATCTTTTCCATTTTGAACCATTTTAATATGATCAATAAGTAAATCTGCACAACATCTACTGGAGATTAAAGGTATTTGAAATTGCCAGAAAATGAAGTTCAAGACAAGAAATGATCAGCAATGAAGCTTGAGTTAGAAGCCTCAAATTATGAAGGGGCTCAATTAACACAGGAAGAACTTGAAAGCTGTAACAGTTGTTTCTCACAGTATGAAACCTGGAGAGCTGCTTAAAAATGCAGATCCCTGGAATTCAGACAAAAAGAAATGTAGCCAGCCATAGTGACACATAACTATAATCCCAGTTACTAGGGAGGCTGAGGCAGGAGGATCATAAATTCAAGGCTAGCCTAGGCAATTTATGACTAAAAATCCCCTGTTCACAAGACACATCACTGATCAACTGAGGAAAAAGCAAGACTCAGAAATAAAGCAGTGTAACACAATCTGTATGAAGAGTAATTGAAGCCAGGTGTGGTGGCCTCCACCTGTAATCCCAGCACTCAGAAGGCTGAGGCAGAAGGATCACACAAGAGGCCTAGGCTACACAGTGAGTTCAAGGCCAATCTAAACTACATAGTGAAACTCTGTCTCAAAAAAGTAATTGAGGGCCCAGGGATTTAGCTCAGTGGTTTCGCCGCCTGCTGCACAAGCCCAAGGACCAGAGTTCGATCCCCGCTACCAAAAAAAAAGTAATTGAAAGTCAAAACTTTCACCCAGCTTGACAGACATAATCCTATTCTGTACAAGGCTTTATCACTTAAAAGGTATTTCTTCTCATTTAATACATTTCTACCAAGTTAGATAACCATGGCACTTCAGGGTACAAAACTATATGGGTACTCTGTCCTTCATCTTTTTTGGATTTTAACAAGTATTCTAATACAGACCTAATTTGCATAAAAGAAAGAACAACCACCACAACAAAAGAGAATACTTTGATACAAAACCAAGTTACCATGACAGTATAGACAAAGCAGCCCTGGTACTAGAAAATTCAAGAACTTGACCATTTGCTTTTATATCCAATTCGTAGGGTTCATATGTTTTTTACCCCAACAATGCAGCTAATATTTATGTCCTTACCATTCCCATTACAGAATTTTCTTTTAGAACAACTTCATACACCCCAGTATTCTTTGACCTGCTTCCTACTGCACTGTGAGTACTGGCCTTAATGTAAATATAAAACAAATTCCTATCACTAAGGAACTAATCCAATAAAATTCTAATAACAATGTCACCACCAAAAAAAAAAAAACTATTCCACTACCTGACAATTACAAAACTCTGTATTTTTTTTTTCATTTTAGTAGTTTTACTTCAAAGTTTTCGTATTCCAAAGAGCATTACCAGGCAAGCAATAGACAAATATTTACCTATTAAGTAATTTCTCCACTCAGGGTACCGTAGGCAGTTAGATTTTTTAAAGACATTGATTTTTTTTCCTACATTTTAAAAGTTTTTTATTAGTGCCAATATAGTCAACAGGTCCAAGAATTAATCCCAATTTAAAGCCACCCATTTTTCTGAGACCTTGAAAAAAATTTCAAAATGCCAGCACTACCAAGGTCCAACCCTAGCATTTCACATACAGAACTAAGCAAAAGCATTTTGAAAGGTGACAATACTACACAAAACGTATCGTTTTCACCCAGGAGACCCAAAGACATTAAAAACATGGATGTCAACCACAACCAAAGCCTAGAGCTCCTGACCCCAACCCCACAACTGGAGCCTGCCAATTCGAATGTACAATTTCATTATTTTTTTTTTTTTAGTGTACTGCTTGATTTGCTGTGAGATGTTCTGCTAAAATCGTATGAAGAACATATTTATGTATACAAGGCATTTGATAATTTCTAAAATTTGGACCGTGCAAAATTAGGAGTACAATACAAAGGACACGCCCTTTCCCAAAAGAGAAACAATGTACTTTCATCTGACTTTACCATTCCCAGCTTCACCCCTAATTTCACTCACTTAACAACCTAGGCAACTTCAAGCTCTTGTTTAAACTGTTCATTTACTCTAAATATTCAGTGCTTTCTACAGACGACTACCTCAAACATTTAGGAAAAAGAGAGAAAACAAATCTACCTGGACGTCCACCAGGTGAACGAACAGGCCCTCTTCAATTAACCTATCAAAAAAAAAAAAAAATCACAACGTTTAACGCTAACAAGACTCAGCACTTGCAAAGATTTACAATTTCATTTTGATGTCTCCATATAACGGGCAGATTATAAAGGACAGCAGGTGTTTAGCACTGGCAGCCTACTCTTAAAGTAATGGTAGGTGATAGCAATTAGTTCCACACCCTTTCAGTGCCAATAATCACAGATTCCCGATGGACATTTTTCCAGATATATTGTTCCTGACAGCATGGGCCAGTCTCCATTTCCTAAAGCTGATGGCTAGGGACATGGAGTCAAAATTTTAAGGTAAAACCTGGGTGGCACACACCTGTAATCCCAGCTACTTGGTAGGCTGAGGCAGGAATATCTCGTTTGAGTCAACCTGGGCAGTTCAGTAGGACGGTCTCAAAATTTTTCAAAAGGGGGTGGCTCAGTTGCAAAGCACATGCCTAGCATGCACAAGGCCCTAGGTTTAATCCCAGGATCATAAAGTAGATAAAAGGGGCAGGGAGGGTTATTGAACTCCAGCACACCTCCCTCCCTTTATATACCTCACAAAAATATCAATACAGCAAATATAGTCTATTGTGTAGGCACTATACAGAAGAGACACGAGCTTTTCATTTCACCCTTTACCTGGCCTACTTGTCCCTTGTCTGACTTTTCTACTTTAAAACATAACGTTCAAGTCAAATTTCCTCCCTTGGAGTTCTCAGCAGCAGACACGTGTGTTTTTGAAACAAGCTGTTCACCGCTGTCTGGCGACCGCACTCCACCCTGGAAGAGGATAGCCCAGACCTGCTGGGCTTCCCGGAGCGTCCCAGGCCTCGTGGCCCGCCCCGGGCGAGGGGGTGTGTCCGCGGCCGCATAGCCCTCTCCCGCAGCCCGTAACGGCGCCCGCGGACCCTCCTTCCTGGGGCTGCCTAGGGGTTGTTCCCGGGGCGCCCAGGCCTCAGGCCGCCGGCCCAACTTTCTCGGGGATGCAGCTGCTATTCCCAACAAGGGGGCCCGCAGTGGGGGCCAGGGCACAACTGAGTGCCCAAGGCCCTCTCACCGGGGGGGGGGGGGGCACTCAGCAGCCCTAGGCCTCAGGCGCCCCGCGGGGGCTGCGGACACTGTCCCCCGCGCGAGGGGACCCGCAGTCGAAGTCACCCGGGATCGGGGTGCGGGGCAGAGGCCAGTCCCGGGAGGACCTACCCGAGGGGGCGCAGCCACCTCCCACGCCCCGGCCAGGACCCCACGGCGGGGCGCCGGGACCCACCAGCTGCTTCAGGTCCTCCTCCGAGAGCTCCGCGTAGCGGTACCGCTGCTGCTCGAACTCGTACCGAGTGGTTTTGGCCACCACCACCACCCGCGAGGGGCGGAAGCCGCCGTCCGGGCGGCTGCCACAGCCCGCCAGCTCGCGTGGCTGCCCGTGCCCCAGGTGCCGCCGGCCGGCGGGGCCTCCCAAGCCCGCTCCTGCTCTGCGGAGCGCCGCCCGGCCGCCCGCCACGCGCCGACAGCTGCCCAGCAGAAAGCCCCGGTAGCACGTCATGGTCGGCCGGCCGGGGCCGCAGGCTCCGCTCCCGCCCGCTCCCGCGCCCGCGCCCGAGTGCGCGCCGCCCGCCGCCGGGCCTTTCACTTGGCACCGGGCGGGTGGAGGTTAAGCGCGGGGACGTGCCCGAGTTTAGGCGGGCGGGGGAGCCCGCGGGAGGGAAAAGTGGGCGGGCAAAACCCGGAGGCCTGCGGATGGTGGCTTTCGTTTGTTTATCTTTTTTTTGGTTGCTGTTACCGTGGACGCCTGCGCAGTGGCCTCTTTCCCCCGAAGCCAGACCTCCCCTCTCCTACTGTTGCCTGGTCGCTCTTTTACCCACCCCCAGGCTAACCCCGTCTGCCAATCACAGCCCGCTGCGGTTTCAGAGCGCCCCCTCTCCCCCCTCCCGCCCAGAGGCTTCGGGGATTGGCTGTAACCGAAGAAAGAGCAGGAATCTTATTTGGAGGTAGAGCTGCCTCAAGAAATCCAGCTGGAACTGGTCTGAGGTGGCGAGGTGGGTGCGGGGAGGGCTTTGAGCATCTGGCGGGAAAGCTGGAGCTCCGCCTTCAGCGCTGCGGTTCTTTCTTGTCTGAAATAGAGCACACGTGCCCTTTGCTCGTGCGTTTTAACTAATCCCTGTTAGCTGATGTGTCTGCTGGTGGGCTAGGGCCTGAGCGGACTGACCCGGGACTGGCGGCCTCATCTGCAGGGCCTGGCACGGGATGGAGAAGTCCAGCCCTTGCTTAGGGCCGTGGGCCACCCCCCCACCCCCCATGCAAATCCTTAACCCTCTCCCGAAGCCTCAGGAGCTCCGGCTCTTCCCTTGCCCCTGCGGCGCCAGCCCAGAGGGCGAAGAGTCTGGCGGGATGGGGCAATCAGGTTGGAAAACTCGATGAGACACAGCGGGAGAGTTAAGAATAAGAGTCCTCTGAACTGTATCCTATGGGCCGCAGTTGTCTGCGGGCTCCTAATGGGAAGGCAGGGAGTTGAAAGCAGTGCTTGAAGCCTTTATTGATCGGGCTTTGGAATGTTGGCCCGGCTGGGAGGAGGAAGGGGAGCTGTCAGAAGCTGTTGAGATGATGAGAGCCTGGCCCAGGAGTAAGAGGACGGGAAGAGAAGCAAAGGAGAAGAATCAAATGGCAGTGCACGTCTTAGTGTATAATCCGTCCGGCTCCGTAAATCTCCTTGCCTTGGCACCCTCGGACTTCGTTTGTAGTCCTGTCACTACCAGTGAGTGTCATTTGGACTTTGGGCAGATTACTTCATCTTTCTGGGCCTCCGATTTCTCCTCTGTAAAATGAGATTGAACTAGAGCTACCAAGCTACAATTGATTAAATCTCATGATTCTTATTTGGCCGCCCGCACCAATATTCATAAACAGGTTCACCGTGTGTGTGTGTACGCGTGCACACGCAAGCACGCACCCGGTAGTACATTTGACTGGGAATACGCACAATTTAGTCTGATAAGTGTTTACTTCTGATAGGTGTTTACTTTTCAAAGTCTTGTCCCTGACTCATTCTGACCAGAATTTGTGAAACAGCCTTAAGTAACTTCTTCAGTTCTGTGAGAGGTAACTTGTAGCTTGGCCCTTCTAAGGATCTTTCTTCTTTTTACTATTCTAACATTTCGTAATTCATTAGATATTAGTAAGGAGGAAAAAGAACTCACGATGACACTCAGGCTTGAAGCCTGGGTGACTAGGAGAATATTAATTGATCCATTGGACAGAGACATGAAATAGGGACAACCTGTTGGCATCAAAGTCTGTTTTGTGCATACGTGAAATTTCAGACGTCTTTTCCCACTTACCAGATAAGTCAGGTTTTTGGCTTTTACATTTTCAGCAACAAACATGATATATATTGATTTCTTGCTTGGGAAAGCCTTTTGTCCATCATTATTTTGAACCCCATCCAAATAATGGTTCCAAATAATAAAATGTTTCCTCAGTTATCTTGAATTCTTCCTCCCTGCTGGATTTTCCTCTTCAATGTTTAAACATGTTTATAAGATCATTAAAAATTTAAACAAAGAAACATCTAAGCCCTAGCTTTTTACATATTGTCCAGCTTTTCTTTACAGCTAAGATTTTTTCCAAGAATAATCTGTTCAATCATTGACCCATCCGTACCTCCTGTTCATCCTTTGACCTGTTGTAATCTACCTTCTTTCTACCACTTCACTAATTACTGCTATTTCCAAGGTCACCAAATGATCTGATTAAAACTCAAGACTTTTTTTAATCTTTAAATTACTTGATCTTTCTGCAGCATTTGAAGTGACTATCGAGTCTTCCTGCAGTCTTCTACTACAGTCTCCCAGCATACCATTCCCTAATGGTGCTTCTTTCATGTCTCTTCCCTCTTTTTTTTTTTGGTGGGGTGTGGGGGGGATAGAACTCCGGACCTTGTGCTTTCCAGGCAGGTGGTGGAACCACTGAGCTAAATCCCCGGCCCTTCTCTTCCCTCTTGGAGTTTTCCCTACGCCCATCTCCAGGATCTGTCTTCTATTCTCTTCTCCCTTTTTTGTTCACGTATTCACCATCCCCCTCCTCTCACTGTCCTGGCTGAGTTCATCCAGTGTTGTGTAATGAAATGAGCTTGGCTTTGAAATTAGAAAAGCCTTAGCTCAAATCCCATCTTTAGCTTTTTTTAGCTTTGTAAACCTTGAACTGGTTGCTTAATCTTTCTGAGCCTACATCTTCATTTATAAAACATAGTAGCTACCTCATAAAGTTGCAAATATATTTACAATTGACTACCCCCTCAGTCTGTTATAAAGACAGGTATTAGCCCCCTTCCCCTTCCTTGACTTCAGCTGTTACCAACATCTTTAGCCCTTATCTTCCTACTCAGCTTCACATCTTTATTTCTGGCTTCCTATCAGGTAATCTATCTTGAGTTTTACACATACAACACCTGTCAGTGGAGATAAATTATATTTGTACCAGGCTCCCTTCTAGGTATTGGAGATTAAATCCCTGCTCTTGAGCCTAAAGTCTGACCAATAACATTTATGCACCACGTTTTAGGAATTTGAAGCCCCAAGTCCTAATTCTGCTTAAGAAGAGTTAGGGAAGGCTTTGTGTAAGTGTTATGAGCTGAGCCTTCAAGAATGAGTAAAGTGTTAGTTTCATCATGAGTGAGAAAGAAATTCTGCAGAAGGAACAGCATAAACAAAAGCATTGAGGGCTGGGGATTTAGCTCAGTGGTTCCTCTGCCTGCCTTGCAAGTGCAAGGACCTGAGTTCCATCACTGGTACCAAAAAAAAAAAGCATTGAGGCAATGAAACAGTGGTTCTGAATTCCTAGGAAATTTACAGACAGGTAGCCAATACTGACAGGTGAGGCTACAGTGATAGACATAAGACCATGGAAAGTGTTATGTCCATGCTTAGAAGCTTGATTTATATCCTGTATATGCTCCAAAACAAAAGGAGCAGATGATACAATTAACTTTGAAAACATTATGAAGAGGAGTTTCTAGGAAGATACACAAGCAGTGAACAAATACCTGAAAAGATACTCAGCCTTTTTACTTGTAAAAATCAGAAAAATGCAAATTAAGGTCCAGTGAAATCGTATTTTTAAAATTTATTTATTTACTTATTTATTTATTATTTAATCTATTTATATTTTGCAGTGCTAGGGATCTAAGCTAGAGCCTGGCACGTACTAGGGAGATCCTCTGCCACTGAGTTATAGTCCCAGCCTTTTAAATTTTGAGTCAGGGTCTCCCTAAATTGCCCAGATTAGCCTCAAATTTGCAATCTTCCCATCTCAGCCTGCTGAATACCTAGGATTGTAGTAAGTATGTGCCACCATGTCTACTAAATAGTGTTTTATATTGACTAGATTGGTAGAAATTAAGAAATTTAGTAATAATCTAGTTATTAGTAATAATGTAATTTTTATTGTAGAATACTAACTAGATCAGCCATTTCAGTAATTCCTCCATTGTCACAGTTTGCAAATATCTTAGCAATTTCAGATGTGTTTGTGTATTTCAATTTGTGTATTTCCAAGTCCTATGTCAAAAATTAACTAATACTGTGATTATGATGTAACCATTGCAAAACAACAATAAACAAAACTATCAAGGATTTAATATCAGTTTCACATATTCCAATAACTAGAAAAATCTAGAATGTTACTGAGTTTCACCGTTGGACCCTGTCTGCTGTGAGGCTGGTGTGTTTCACTAATGAAGTAAAATGGTTACTAGCTAACCATGCAATAGCCATGTTTTAAGCTTGTTTGCAGCATTTTATGGGAAATATATCACTGTGATATTCACAAATTAAAAATTTACAGAGCTCTTTAAGGTGTATCCTTTCCAATCCCTAGAACCCCTCTACCTTATTTCATGTACATCTGACTCTGGAAGACTTCTGTGCCTTTTTTGTGACAGTGCATACTTTAAAATTTGTACAGGATGTTTTTCTCTGAGGACAAAGGGTCCCTTGCATTGGTAATAATAAATGTAAAATAATATTTTTAAGAGAGGAATGTTAATGGTCCATAATTAATCTAGACAACTAGAGTAAAATCCTACTGAAAGAGAATTAGATTATCTTAATATAAGATATATAATTAGGTATAATATTAAATACCTATCATATATTTGGAGGATAGTTAAGTAAATTTAAATTTTTTTAAAAGCTTATTGGAAATCCAAAATGTAGGCTTTGAAAGCACATACTCAACCTAAAAAAAGCATTGTAAGTTAATTAATCTCTTCACATGAATGAAGTCAAAGGGGGCCAGGGATTTAGCTCAGTGGTTCTGGCTCATGCTTCGCAAGCACAAGGTCCTGAGTTCGATCCCTGGTACCAAAAACAAACAAAAAAAAGAAGTCAGAGGACACAGAAACAGCCAGATAAAGATGCAGGACAAAGAAAAACTATAAAATGTTTCTATTTCTATTATCAAAATAGGTTGAAAGAGGGGCCGGGGATTTAGCTCAGTGGTTTCCGCCGCCTGCTGCGCAAGCTCAAGGATCCGAGTTCCATCCCCTGTACCAAAAGAAAAAAAAAAAGTGCTGAAAGACTCGTGAGGTAAATACCATATTTCTGCTCTTTGTATCTATTTCATAATCCAGGAATGTTCACACTTTCTAGGTCTGCCGGATAGTCTTAAGTCTATTTTTGGCTGTGTTGCATTGACATTTCTACATAAATCACAAATTAGTCTATTTTTTCCTTTGATCCATGCAGGAGGTCCAAAGAAACTCATAGGATTAATTCAGTTTGTATTAAAGTGTTTAGAACGTTGAGAAAATATTGCTGTATCTCCACCCTAGTGTGGAGTTAAGAATGAAGGTGTTAGGAAGATAAAGAATATCTCTGCTTTCTGCTTCACTTTAATAATTATGGTGCAATCACAATGTTCCCACATAGCTAAAACCTTTAAAGAAAAGAACCAGTATTTTAATATCTTCTTCAAACATTGGGCCGGGGGTTTGGCTCAGTGGTTCTGCCACCTGCCTTCCAAGTGCAGGGTCCTGAGTTTGATCCCTGGTACCAAAAAAAAAAAAACCAAACAAACAAAATATGTCCCTATTTATATTATGCTTCTAATGAAATTTTTTTCCATTGAGGATTAGGGGGTGAAGGATTGGGAAAAAGAAAGAAAACTGAAATTGCTGTTTTATCATCTCTCCATAACACATTAGCTTCTCTTTGTATTTTTTGAGTCCTTGATTAACTTATAAAATATTTTATTACCATGTGTTTTCTGTAGTCACAAAAAGAATAAAGAGATATAAATTGGGAATTGACCTAAATAAGGAATACATCGGAATGGAGAATTGTTTAGGGGTCTTAGTCAGAAGTTATTTTGAAGACTAGGGTAATCAAACTGGATTGAAAATGAAATGTGGCTATAAGTAAGAAGCCTAATTTTCTTGTGTGAGTCATGAAACATCTCTGCAACATCTCAAAAGGAGAGCATCAGTATTATGTTGCACAATTGTTGAAATGATTGTAGTGTAGAATAATGAATTTTTAAAAAATCCATTTGGTATATTAATTTTATAAAACAGCTTTATATAGCCATACTCACTAGAATGTGATGACAATTTAATTAGATAAAGCAGAAAACAAGTTAATTTATTTGGATTTTTGTAAACTGACTTTTTTATACATAGGTAATGCATTACATTTTTGCTCATTCATTCAAACTATTGTGCATTGACCATGAGTCAAGCATATACAAGATACAATGAATACAAATCCAAAAACAGATACTTCCTGTGAAGGAATCTATACTTGAATATACAAGTTTATATTACTAGGAAATCCAAAGGTTAAATAAAAATATGTATTTTCCAGAAGACAAATATCATTTAATGAAATATTATCATGCAACTATAATATTTTTTAAAGAAATGACTGGAAATTTAGTAAAATATTTGTTTTACACTCAATATATGACTGAAAAGAACCTCAGATATTTATCAAATCCAGCAGTTTATACTTGTAGTCAATATATCAATGTAATAAATAATCCAGATTAGTTATCAAATTCTATTCTAAATTAACTTCTTCAAAAATTATAAATTTTATACTTCTGAAGTCCATCTATTAAATTCTGTCATTTTCTCACAAGAATCAAAATATAAAACAAAAGAAAAAATTTAATGGCAAAAATTATATTTCTTAAACTTTTCTATAAAAATTCTTCAAGGAATGAACAGTATCTTCTCATTAAGTTAGAATGATTTCATATTTTCAGCAAGGTGACCAATCTTTTTGTAGATGTCGTCATGTTTACAGGAGTTCGTACTCATGAGCAGGCAACCGATTGTCTGTGAGTCCACCTAGAAGGATCTGTGATATAAATTTAATATTTGATCATGTAATATATTTAGACTAGATTTAATATAAAATCCAACTGAACATGAATATACTCACTGGTAAGGAAATGAAAGACACAGAAGCAACATTTTTATAAGTTACATTTGGAAATCTTGCTAATAATCTTAACCATAACATTTTCAGATAATTAAAACTTTTCTTAATTCATGGCATCAAAGTTAAAAAAAAAAAGACTTTATAGCCTCCATAACATTTTAGCAATACTTCCTGGAGAAAATACTAAGTGAAAAGGGGGGAAAAAATGACAGAGAGGAAGGGAGATTCATGTAACTGACATTTGCTTTTCATTATTTCTGCCATTTTGTATTAAGAAAGTTGCATATCACTTCTTTTCTAAAATAGGATATAATACATTGATGAGAGAATTTTGCTTTTTAATAGCTATTTCAAACTGACATTTTTAGTGGTTACCAACTGATTTTCTAATGGATCCCATTTTATTATTAACAATATAAACATATGAAAGGTAATTTTATTTATTAATTTCATATTCTTCAGAGAATTAAAAACTGTTTAACAAATTTGTTTAAAGTACCAAAAAAACTCATTTTCATTTAGTTCTCTGGTTTACTGAGTCACACGGAATGCAATCCTAATCTGCAGGTTTTATGTATTTTTCCTTTTGATTATATTTTTTATTAATAAGCAAAGAAAGATCTTTCATCCAGTTCTATACATGTTCTCTGATAAATTCTTAAATTGTGTACAATTAAAGCAGCTTTAAAGTTTTAAAATGATTAAAAGTTGAAAATGTTACTACTCTGTCTTTTTAACTGTATTACACTATAGAACAGAATTCAGGATTAAGTGAGACTTTCTAAAATAAAAAACTTGCATGGTTTTATTAGAATAGCTACATATATATAACAAAGTTGAGCTTACTAGTTCTTTGACAATGTTTTTTCCCCAATAATAATGATGAATAATACTTTTAAATCCACTAATCAGAGTATGCACTGAAACCTTAAAGTCTGTTTATTCCTGGCTCTTCCTCAACCTTAATCTATTTCTAAATCCCGGCACAATAAGATAAATAGTAATTTGCCCTAGGAAAGAAGGAACTCAAAGATAGAATTTATACAATGTAGGCATTCTTTGAGATAATCAAATTCTGAAAGGAGAATAAACAGGGTTTTGTCATATTTACCTGTAGTCCCATTGTATGTATTTATAATTCCTCCTGTTATAGCCAATAATAGAATGAGAACGAGAGAACTAGGAATAAGTGATTATCAATGTAATACTTTAACTTATAAATACAGTATTTTATGTAAATGACATGCATGTAAATGACATGCAGACATTACAATGAGGCTGATTTGATAAGATCCTACTGAAGACTACTCATGGAAGACAATGATTTTCCAACCTGCAAATCAGATCAAAACAACCAGGGCTCTAACCACCACTCACTTTAAACATTACTTTTACTTTTAAAAAATCTATATTGGGATTGTGGTTAACATTTCTGTTTTAAACTTCTGACCTAATTATTTACCTGATACATTTTTAGTGACTTGGATAAAATCGTCCTCATCCTCATCACAGCTTTCACAGTTCAGTTGTTGGAGGACTGTTTCTGACTGGCTTTCAGCTCGATTGATATCTTTCTGCTTATTATTGAAGCTTCGAAGGGCAATAAGACGGTGATGTATTGCTGCATAAAGATACCGTGTATCTTTGGCACCAGCCTGAGAGGAAAAATTAAGATGTTATGAACACAAATCACCTACTAATATTAATCACATTTTAAAGATTTTTAATCTTTCACTATTAGTAAAGAAAGAATTGTAGGGCATAAATCTAGAATGTAAATAAGTTCTAACACTCCTATAAATTACGGAGTAAAAAGCCAATTAATCTTGCACCAAACTGCATCCTACAGTGAATAATTTTGTATTTACTTTAAATTGAGAAAATAAAATTTTGTAATTTAAGATATTTCTATTTGAATTTAAGTGTGGTATGACCATTCTTTCACTATTTTACACTACAGGAAATTGTAGGGTCAGAGAAAAGAGGCTTCTATTTCCTTTCCATTGCTTTGCTTACAAATTCTTCCAAGTGACATTCTTATAATTCTTATAATGTGGGTTCATTATTCATTCCATTTATATTAGCAAAAGCAAGAAGCACAGGTAGTCAATATATACCCAATTCCTTTTACAAACAAGAAAATTAGGGCTCAGAAAGTAAAATGAGTTGTCTCAGTTACAGCTACCCAGCAAGTTGCTGGGTCTTGAATTTCAGTTTTTTGTCATTCAGATCAGCAGGATTAATGGAATAAATTGGGGTATGCCAAAATAGAATTCTTTCATCTACTAAAAGACATTTTGAGGAATAAGTAACTATTTAATGGCATGAAAAACATTTATTTGCATTAGTAAATGAAATTACAGGTGATTTTTTTCACAATCGTTTTAGCTGTTTAATCTCAGTAGCTTTATAAAATGTATTATTGTTACCTTCATTTTGCACATGAGTAAATCAATTTAAGGAAGGCTAAGAAACTTGCCTGAAGGCCACATAGTATATACAGTATGCTACATATATATGTATACATATTTGGAATTTTTTTAGAGTTTGGAATATTCACATATACATAATTAGATACCTTAGGCATGGGACCCAGGTCCAAACATGAAATTCATTTATGTTTTGTATATACCTTACACACATAGTCTAAAAGTAATTTTATACAATAGTTTTAGTGTACTTGTGTTTGGACTGGGACCTGTCACATAAGATCAGGTGTAGAATTTTCCCACTTATGACAACATAATGGGGCTTTTAGGCTCAATGTTTGAAGCATTTTGTATTTCAAATTTTTGAATCGAGAATGCTTAATCTATATAGTATTCAACTAAAATGTTAACAAGTACCATCTCTGAAGGTGGAATATTGAGCAATTTCTCTTACATTTAAGTTGCTTATTGCTAGTAAATATCTTAAAGTTTTAAAAGTCAGCATGGGTCAAATATTGAGCCTGGAAGTCTAATCATGGTTAATAGTCTCAGTCTCAGTTTCTGGCACATGGCCTTACCCACTTAAAACCAAGGGATCTGGCCTGGCCAAGTATCAAGTATTCTTTCTCTAAATGGCAAACAGAGTTTAAACATCATCTTGTCCTAACATCTTTAAAATAATGTCAAGTGCACCTCACAGTGCACTTATAGTTA